GTGTTTCCTTTTCAAAGTAATTCCTCACCTAGGATCAACTTATTGCTAAGAAGAGCTGCGTGCTAGGTTTGAAAGATGAGAAGTTACAAAGAACTTTTCAAACCCAAGCTATTTTAAATATTTCTTTGAGTACATCTAATAATGTTCTTAACAATGTTGGTTAATTTTGGGATGAAGAATAACTTGATGATACCCCTTGAGTGGTAATAAATAATTATTTTCAAAATTCCGCAAGTCTGCTGTTTAAACCATTTAAAGGCCTGTCCCGGCCTGTCCACGATGAGTTGGAATAAGGAAGTAGGAGTAAGAGTAATTTCAAAAACATGTAAAAACAGCCGCAAGAGCAGCAGCTTTGGCTTTTCATTTTTTACGATTGAGTATATAGAAAACTGTTTCCTTAGATGATTAGTGTGCAAAAGTATCAAAATTAGGTCTTATCCTTGCCCCAATTTGGCAAAAATATTGAGATTGGATTTGGTCGTGCCCAATGTCTGGTAGTACAATTCCAAGCCTTACTCCATTCTAATACTGTCACTAGATCTCTATGGTCCGGTGTAGTGATACTATAGGGAATTTGAGGCTATGTTCCCCATGGCTCGCGGGGCACTCGTCGTCGTCGTACGGGTGCTGCCCTCTATTGGGATCACCGCGTCAACCGCTCACCTCGGCGTCGACGCTGCCCAGCGGCTGCGTCCGCGGCCCCGCGTCGCGCATGCGTGGTAGATGAAGGTGGCCTCAGCGACCATGGTGCGCAAGTGAGAGCGACGTCTATCGCATGCGGACGCGTCCCTCGCGCCCTCCCCGACGTAGTGAAGGAAACGCCCATCAGATGGCACATGCCCAACGCGTCCAGCAGCCCGACCGAATTTCATTTAATTTTGAGGAATTAGTTTTGCGTTCTACTGTAAATGGACCGATTTTCCTGCGCACCGATCACAGATACGACGGGCGAGACCGTCTGCGTCCGTGGGCGCGGGTCTGCACGTCGACGGCGAGGTCGCAAAGTCCGGCGCGCAGCAGGTCCCCGGCACTCCAACTCAGTTGGTCGGCGGCACGACGCACCAGTAAAGCATACTTACCTGGCGCAGGAGTTAACCGTGATCACGAAGGCGGTTCTCCCAGGTCGAGGCCC